TACATTTGCTACTCTTCTTGAGTGGAAGGAGACAAGTGATGGTTTCTCATACTCTATTCCCCTTTTCTAATGATGTGCTCACCCAGTAGTAAAGCAGGTAGATTTACCAGGTTGTTACCTACAGATACACTAATGAGCCTTTAAAGGTAGTGGAAAGAACTAACTTCTAACTCCTTTTTTTGGAAAATAAATATTAAATGAGTGTATCTGTTAAAACTTGAATGTCATTATTTTAAAATCAAAATCTCCTTTTTAAAAAAAAATTAACATTTTCCTTATCATATATGAGACGAACTTACCCACTAACCTTTCCATTTTCAGAAACTTCCTTTGACTTGAACTAAGATGTTTTAGAAAAGAAGAAAAACATATAAAAATCAGATCCTGATGTTTTGCAAGAATTTTCATAATCAGAAATACTCATGTTTCTTTTCTTCTTGACATCTAATATTCCCGTTTTTCCTCTGAATCTTTATATCTTCTCTAATGTATATTGTGTACAGAGGTTCAAAAGACTACTTTTTTCAGGGTGCTTTTCATTAATTCTATTTATAAATTTACTTTTCTTGCTTTGCATCATCCTCTGTCTGGACTCTTTTTGCCATCTATTTAGTGGCATCATGTGATAGCTGGTGTATTGATGGATGTAATGCTATTTAACAGCAAATAGTCTATAGACAATAATTAGGGAGTATTTCTTTGACTGAAGCTGTTAATATTTATCATAGGAATATAAGGTTGAAACAGACAGATTAGCCATATATATTGGTATCTAACAGTACACGATCTCTAGTGGGTATGTGAATGTTTAGTTGTCGAATGTAGTTGTTGCCTCCATGACGTCTGCCTACGGATGTTGTAGGACAGTCACCTGTAAATTCTTTTAACCGCTTATTATTACCTGTTATTTTAAAATATATCAAAGTTCTTTAAATTTATATAATATTATAATGCGCTCTCAGGCATAGATTTCTTAGGTACATAATCTAAAATTTTACCTACTATTTGCTCCTCCCTGAAAATAAAGAGGTTTGAGCTGGCAGCAGGCGCTCCATTCAGAAACCATATAGGGAATTAGGCAGCTGCTGTCCTTGGTGATGAAATCATTTCATGTGAATTCTTAGGAAAACAACTAGTTAAAAAAGCAGGATAATCTTAAGTATATTGTTTGTGGCTACTGTTGGTATGAAGATAGATCTATCTGAACTAGAAAAATACAGACTCCAGTATCTTAATGTCTTGAGTTCCTGACTGCCATGCAGAGGAAATGTTTAACTATTTTAATCATGTTTCTGTATCTCAGAAAGAAAGCCCTTATGAGAGGAAATGACAATGTCCTACCACAAAGTTATCTCGTATCAGTTATAGTCTCAGTCGATAATGATTTGTCAAACTGGGACATGTGTTAAATGCAAGGGCTGTGTTATTTACTTTGGAAAGGAAAAATTAGATGAAGCTGATAAAGACGGAGTCATGGCTTTTGTTAGGAGACAGAAACCATTAGAGGCAGTCATTGTTAGCTTAGGAAAGTGTCCTTGGACCCCTCCCTCTGCCCCAGCTGAAACCTAAACCTGCTTGGATCGTTCTTTGCAAGCTGAGGGGAGGCAGGGGCAATGGAGACGAAGAATGAAGACAGCTCTGACAGAGATGTAGCATTTTTTAAATAGGGAGCAAAATGTGGACCTGGAAGTAGACTATTTATGTGAGTTAGGAAACATTGCCTTTTGTTCTAGTACTCCTTCCCCACTCCCATTTATTTAGGTTTTTGAAAGTTCACTTCTTATCCTTTCAAACGTGTAGCATTCCTTCACGTACAGTGTGTGTTGCTCTCCTCCTCCCACCTTTCTGAAGATGTAAGTGATTCTTTTTCATTAGTGGAAGCAGAGAAAACACATCTAGCTCAAAGCAACATGAGTCAGTGCATGCTTTACATACCTTTCTTCTCACAGCACTCTTCTGGGTTCCTCACAGTGTTCCTAGTGTTCCTCACAGAAGGGAGCACGGAGGAAAAATGATTTCTAAACAGTAGGCTGTTTGGAGGGTGGAAATAAAGTTTGCCCCATTCTGCTCCTTTTTGTCTAGATTTCTGTGTACCACTTTCAAAGCAGGAAAGCATGTGCTTAGGAGGGCTTAACTGGATTATGATTTCAGAGGCTAAGAAATAGCAGAGCCAGTACTTCCAGGTCAGAGTACTTTAAACAGTTTGAAGCTGAATATGATGATGTCAAGACAGCCTCATAGAGAATAGGTTTGATAAATATTTGGTGGAGGTGACAGGAAAAGCCTTTGTCTCCTCTCTAATTATATTTATTTGGCCCAGATAAACCAGTCTTCTTCAGAACATTAGTAAAGGGCCCCATTAGGTTATTTGTCACAGATTTCTGGGGAAACTGTCCCCTAATGTGAATGTTCATTCTGTAAGGATGGGTCTGACTTGTGAAAGGACCAAGGCTCTGTCTGAGCAATGGTTAGAAGCAGTTTCCTTTTGAATGAAACCATGGCTCTGAGTTCAAAGCAAAACAAAATAAATAAACTGCATGAAGAAGAGCATATAAACAAAGTTGTGATGAAATTTGTTTAAAATTAGGTAAAGTTTTCTTAAACTTTTTTAAAGTATATATTTCTAAAAAATAACTTTATAATCATTAATTATAAATAAAGGGAAAAAGTTTCATTTTCTATACAGATCAAAAAAATTTTTTAATGCATTTCTTTCTTGTCTTTTTTATATGCACATGTAATTTTTAGGTAATTTAAATACTATTGTAAATATAATTTAATGGAAATTTTCTATTGTTTCTTCTTTTGAGATTGTTTTCCACTTAGCTCTAGTTTTCACCAGTAGGCTCTGGTCTTCTGGAAAGATAAAATAAATTTCCTTGAAATCTCCACTTCATACAGGAGCGACTGTAAAGGTGCTTTAATGTTGTGGTCATTTCAAATAAGAAGGCCTGAAATGATCACCTGCTGCCTCTTTTTGTGTTAAGATGAAAATGAGTATCCATTGTACTCTTAAAGTTAGAAATTTTACATGCTTTTTAGTCGTACTTTTCTTTACCTACATGGTGCCCATCTGTCCATAAAATGTTTTTCTCAGTAATTTGGCAATGCTCACTAACTGTTTCTTTCTCTTTTTTCTTTTTGGCCGCACCACACGGCATGTCGGATCTTAGTTCCCCGAACAGGGATCGAACCCATGCCCCCTCCATTGCAAGCGTGGAGTCTTAAGCACTGGACCACCAGGGAAGTCCAATGCTTACTAACTTTTCTAAATGCCTTTTTTTTTTTTTAAAGGGAAACTATGCTTTGGCCATGGTGTAGGATCTTAAGCACCTTATCATCTTTGGATTCACAAAAAGTTTTGTTTTGAGTGCTTACAGAGTGTATACTGTATAGAGTGAGGTTCCCAAACATAGAGATTTAATCTCTACTCTCATGGATGCAAAGCAAATGAACAGAATAGTCAATAAACTTGAACCAATATACAGAGAGATGTGATGGTTTTGGAGGGAGAAGAAAGTAGGTATTGTACTGTTGAATTGCAGAATGAGTAGGTTTCATTAGGAACAGCATCTTGATGAAGAATCTGTTACCTAAAGAAGATATGAGGCTTACTTTATGAAGTAAAGGAAACTGACCTTGTAATCATGAATCAGCCCAACCCAATTTAGATGTGCCTGCTGCCTATATTCTGATGAATGATACAGTTAACTAGTGTTACAGTAAAAACTTTAGTTAGGTCTTTATTTTGACTACTGTATTTCTTTATGTAATTTTGTCTTCTTTGTTATTTTGTTTAATATTTGCTTTCATTGTTTCCTTTTATTCTTGTTAAATTTCTGTGGGTCAACTGGATAGTTTTTTTTTTTCAGATGAGGAAATTGAGGTCAAAATAAAGTGTGACTTATTCATCGTCACGATTGTAACAAATCAGTTTTAGCACTGTGACTATACTGCAGTTCTTACCTGATGTTTTTTGTTTTACTTTCTCTCTTTTTTTTTTTTTTTTTTTTTTTGCATTACGCGGGCCTCTCACTGTTGTGGCCTCTCCCGTTGTGGAGCACAGGCTCCGGACACGCAGGCTCGGCGGCCATGGCTCACGGGCCCAGCCGCTCCGCGGCATGTGGGATCTTCCCGGACCGGGGCACGAACCCGTGTCCCCTGCATCGGCAGGCGGACTCTCAACCACTGCGCCACCAGGGAAGCCCTACTTTCTCTTTTGATGTCTAGGATTAATCTGTGTGCATTGTTCTTATTACAATTTGTTGATATTACTCTAGGTTTGGTTTTCCATTCATTATCTTACTTTTAAAAATATAGGGACTTCCCTGATGGCGCAGTGGTTAAGACTCTGAGCTCCCAATGCAGGGGGCCCGGGTTCGATCCCTGGCCAGGGAACTAGATCCCACATGTGTACTGCAACTAAGGAGCCGGCGAGCCATAACTAAGGAGTCTGCAAACCACAACTAAGGAGCCCGCCGGCTGCAACTAAGACCTGGCACAACTAACTAACTAACTAAAATTAAAAAAAAAAAATCATCTCCCTCTCTTCCTGGCATATTTCTGTATTTTGATTGCATGCTGACTTAAATATTCACTGATTCTTGTGCCCTTCAGAAGTTGCCTGGCAGGCCATTCAAGTGGCAAGTTTTGTTTTTGACCACTGGAACTTAGTTTTTTTATGTAGAGTACCATGTATCTAAGAAGACAAAGTCAAGTTAGCAAAGTCACATTTCCACCTTTTTCTTTTCCTTCTTTTTCCTGCAGCCTCCAAATGTGTCTTTAAAAGCAGATGCGGGACCAGTTACACCTGTTTCTGTTCTGTGTCCCAACCTTGGTGATATCCTCATTGCTTATTAATGCCGTGGCTGAAATGCCAAAACTAGGTGTCTGGAAGCATACTTTTTTTTTTTTTTTTAGCACTTGAGTATTAAAAATGAGTGCAGTTGCTCTTAATAGCCTTGTTTGAATATTTTATGACAATCTTGGTTGTTTTGCAGGTACCTGGGGCCCAAGATTTGGTTGATTTCTCTCCTGTTTATCGATGTCTACACATATATTCTGTCCTGGTGAGTCTTTATCTGGCTCTGCCCAATAAAAATCTATATTGAATTCAAAACTCTGCATTCTCATATTTGATAGTTTTTCTGTTTAGTATTAAGAGTAAGGGATAAGGAACTGTTACTTAAGAAGTATCAATTATTAAAAAAATAATTCTTTCTTTTCTTCTTGAATCTTTTATTTATGTTTGCCATGTGATATGCTACAGCTAGTAATGTTAATTTCTATCAATCATCAACAGATTATTAGATTATACCTAGAAATAGTGACACACAAATTCAGATTTCTATTCTTAATTTAATAATGTAGTTATTTATATAACAATAGGCTATCTTTGCATATTAAAATAATATTTGTAAAAACTGTTTGCTTTATCATTTCTGATAATTCTTCCTTTGTCATATAACACATATGGGAAGAGGAACCTCTCTGGGGAGAAATATTATGGGTATTAATGGGATTCTAAGAAAGGCGCTTTCTCCTTCTTGGTAGTACACCTACATGCAGACACACAGATACATACGGTCAATAAAAAAATTAAACTATGAAGCTAAAGTATCATCAAAGGCAAATTGATGAGAGAAGTCCATTATCGATACATTTTATAGCAAAGTTCAGTGAAACTTCTATCATGTTGTTTTTAGTATATTTGAATATGTCTTATTGCCCAGTGTGTTATCCATTTTCTTTCCTTGTATATTTACCGTAGTTTCACTTAGTCATTACTCCAGATGGTTTGGGTGGACGTTATGGCCTGAAGTATATTTGGTGATCTCCAGTAGTTTGAGAAAAGAACTGATAGTTTCTTCTCCTCTCTGCTCCTTCCTCCTCCCACTTCTCCTTGCTCTCTGCTTCCCTCTTGCCCTCTCCCTCTTTTCTCACTCTCTATTTCTTCTCTCCATGTATCATTCTTGCTATATAAAATGAAGCAAGATATAGATAAAATTGTATCAAAGCATCTAAAATAAGTCACAGTTTCTTTTCAATATCATGTACAGAGAGTTAAATAAATTATAAACATCTTGTTTGTGACACACTCTTTTCATCATTTCATACAAGGCCCCTGTTGTATTTTATCTTATGTTTTTTCCATTCATCCCATGTCCATAAGCCCATTTGTCTCTCATCCCCAAGTATACTAACTTTAATATGTTTAATATATGATCATGGTTGTGTTTGTGTCCTTGAAAAATATATAGTGACTTGTATATGTATTTGTTTTTAACTTATTCAGATAGTATTGTCTTATGGACCTAGTTCTATTTCTTATATCTTTTGCTTAGCACTGTTTTTAATATCTGTCCTCCTTATAGTCTGTATATCTAGTTCATTGCCTCCCACTTAAATGTGATAGTTAATTGATGGTTTGTATTTGCTGTATTTAATTATCTATTACTTTAGTGATAACACTTAAATTGCGTATAATATTCTGCTGTAACAAATAGTACCCTCTTATGGACTGGTGTGTAAGTTTCTATGTTTTCTATACGTAGGCATGAAATTCTTGGGTTATAAGGTATATGTATCAATATAATATTTAATTTCACCAATTTCTAATTTCTGCTAACCTGATGGATATTGATATCATTTTAATTTGCATTTCTCTGATGACTGGTAACATTATGCTTCTCTCTATAGACTTATTAATCATTTAAGATTTTTATTCTCTGAACGGCCTACTTTTGGTCTTTGTTCAGTTTTTTTAATTGGATTTCTTGTTTATGTCTTTTCTGTTTGCCGGAAAGAGACATTTCAGAAATTCTTCCAATATTGTAGATATTAACAGTTTAAGATATTACAGATACCTTTTTTCCAGTTTGCCACCAGATTCTAAACTATGTCTGTGTTATCTTTTGTGAAACAGAACTCTTTGATTTTAATATAATCAAGTCAATCAGTATTAACCTTATAATCTGTACTTTCTGATTCTTGTTTTTAAAGAATCCTTCTCTCTTTCAAGGTCATAGAGCATTCCTCTTCCATTACCTTTAACATTTTATCATTCACATTTTGATTTTGATCCATCTTGTTTTCACTGCTGTATGTATAGGTATGAGGTAGGGGTCCAACTCAAATGTTTTCTATGTGATGAATTCAGTTTTATTAATCCCATCTATTACATAATCTGTACATCACTCAGTAATTCCTGGTAGTACATCTGGCATACACTAAATATTCATATTTATGTGAATCTGTTTCTCAGCTCTATAGTTTGTTATATTTGGTTTTGTAATATATCTACATATATAGTAAAAGAAGTACCTTCTCATTTTTCCTCTTTTAAATTGCTTTCACTATTTATAGGACTTTATTTTTCCATATATATTTTATAGTCAGTTTGAGTTTATAAGAAAAAATTTCTTAGAATATTTGTTTGAATCAATTGAATTTATAGATAAGTTTTGGGAAGAAGTGACCACTTTATAATGGTAAGTTATCCCATTTGTGGAAGAATAAGATCTACTTTAAAGTTATTTAATTAAGATGTTTTTCTATGTTAATAGCCTTGGGCATTAACAAGGCTTAACAAGAAAATGCTTATAGTTTTTGTTGCTATTTCTACTTTATTTTCTAATATTATTGCTGATATTGAGAAACACTATTGATTTTTGTAAGTTAACCTACATCTGACAACCTGCTCAACTCTTTTGCTAGTTATTATAGTTTGTTTTATGATAGGTTTTCTGTGTAGTTGATCATAATATATGCAGATATTGAATTTGTTTCTTTTCTTCCTAGCCATATATCTCTTTGTTCTTATCGTGCTGTTGTATTGACCAGGATCATCATTACTTTGTTGTTTAGTAAAAGTGATAGTGGACATCCTTCTCTGTTTTCTAATTTCAAAGAGAAAGTATCTAAAGTTTCTCCATTAACTTGATGTTTGCAATAGGATTTTGGTAAATATTCTTTATCTAGTTATTCCTAGACTTCTTATCATTTTTTATAAAACCATAAATGAGTACTGAATTTTATTGAGTTTGTTTTCCAAATATACTGATATGATGCTATGGTTTTTATCCTTTAATTCATGAAGGTGATGGATTTCATTGATAGATATTTCTGATATTAAACAATCGTTGCATTCCTTAGATAAATCCAACTTGATGAGGATGTATTACTGCCTCTTTTTTTTAACACCTTGTGGAATTCAACTGCTTTTTGTTTATTTATTTTATTTTTAACCTTTTTTTGTGTTTCTGTTTATGGCCATAGTTTTCTTTTCTTTTCTTCTCTTTTTTTTTTTTTTTTGCATTGTCTTTATGTGGTTTGTAAGTCAGTGTTATTTTAACCTCATTAGAATTGTTGAACATTCTTCCCTTTTTTCTATTTTATAAAATGATTTGTATAAGACAGAAGTTATCTATTTATTGAAAGTTGAATAGAAATCACATATGCAGTAATACACATTTTTCCTTTGCCACGTACTTCCCTCTCCTTTCTCCCTTATTATCTTTCTTCCATGCTCCATGATTTTGTTTAGTCTCTTCAATAGTATGTATGGTTAAAGAACCATATTTGCTCATATAAAGTTTTATAAGCCTCATAATTGCAAAATCCAAGTGCATATTTCCTCTCAAATAGTGTAAAGTCTTGAAAATGGGTAGTTGGTTTAGTTTAATGCTATATCCTCAGTACTTACAACAGTACTTAGTGTAGGTATTCAATAAATATTAGTTGAATGAATAGATAAATAAGTGGTACCTAAAGATGGATAAGTCAAGGACTTATGCTTTTACAAAACTATAATATATCAGGAAAGAAGTTACAACCTTTGAATGACTATAATATGACAGCAGTATATCATCACTGTGTGTATGCTAGTTTTTTAAGCTTTATTAAGATGTAATGATATAGAAAATATAACAAATTTTCCTCAAGTGAGAACTCTAGTAGTGATTCATAAGAGTACTGAGGTAATTTATTTGCACACTAGTGGTGTTAAGCAAGTCACCCAAACCTTAGCTTTCTCATGTATAAAATGCAATAATAATTACCACTTAGTGCAGTTATAGATATTGTATGAATGGTGCCTATCTCTGGCACATAGTTGGCATTTAATAAATGGTAGTTAATATGGCAAAAATTATGTGTCTCTGATGCAGTCATTAGACCTGTTATTGGTATTTTTCAAAGTATATGACAAAGTGTAGACATGTTGATAGAGGTTGTAGTTTCTGCCATTAACATGCAAAGTTTATCAATTATTTAAAATTCACACATTCTTAAATACACAAAGCCTATATAATCTTAAATTGTGAGGACAAAACAGGGAGACCGTAAACTGCCCACTTCAAAATAAATTCTATACACTGGTATTCAATAATATTGAAATATTTATTGTTCATAAATTTTAAAGCATTGTTTATATGGCAGAAACAGGCCTCTTCCCCCAATCATAACGTTTCTTGAGTTTTGAAGAAACACCCTATCTCAACTAGGGTGATAAGAACTCAACTCTATTTTTTCTGGAGTACATGTTTATTTTTTAGATGTCGCTGTTCCATTCCTATAGGGAATTTAAGTAAGAACTCAAATATCTCATGTTCTAAAGTGAGGGCCACAGCATGTATAACTTCTAGGGTTGACCTTTCACAGCTTTTTGGGGGCAGTAATTTATCACTTTTCTGTATTTGTTTCCCCATTCTCAAATCACTAATTTGTATTATTGTATAATGAAAGATAGCTCCTCATAATATTAATGACAAAGATATTTAATATAAATATTCATAACATAAATATTTTCTTATTTCCTAATATTAACATTAGGCTTTAAGAAGAGATTTAGGAATAGAGAAATAGAGAAGCTTATTAGAGGACTGAGGAGAAAGTAATTTTTCTCTCTCTCATTCCTTTCCATTCCTATACTTGTCTCTACTTCTTTACTCTTCATTCTCCCATCAACCCAGGATATTTATCTTCTGTTCATACCACTACCCTGAATCTGTATCTTACTGGACTTTTCAGCTGCTTTTGACTTTGTTGACAGCTTACCACTTAAAACTCT